AATGATAGTTGTGAACGTTATAGAGACGCTAGTGAGACATGATACCTCCACCATGCTTGCCCGGAGTGCTCGTGCGACGTGCCGTGGATACATGAAAATTCGCGCAAGGTAGACGGATATGCATAGTGCCAGGAGCACGATTGTGTACACCCAAACTATCACAGAGATAATACGCAGACCATGGAATTGATAGTCCAATTGATGAAGAATAATGGCTATTACGCCAGTACCTTGGGGTATCAGAAACCATTGGGAGGAGAAGTTCCATATTGCGATGCAGACTGGTGATGTTGGTACTGGAGTGTCATGGGCTTCATGATTTGGCATTTCGCAGAGCAATCCAGAGCCAATGCCCTGTAAAGCAAGAAGAGGGTTTTGGCAAGATTGCTTTGAAGAAAGAACAAAATCAAATCTCAGCGTATCCTGACCTGAATTACATCATAATCCCTTTGACCGTGTAGCATTAGTTACATGCGGGTGATCGCGAGATTTAGTTCCGATTGACAACCAAAAGCCTGTCAAACAGAAAAGTCAAGGGCATAAGATCTAGAACGGGGCTGCTACTACATTGACCAACCTTTGTCAGTTCAAGATGAGGCCGTAGTGACGTAACTCGGCCCAAGAAAATGGGTGGTTATTGTCCATAGGGCGTTTCCATGGATCTGGCGCCGTTCAACAATCCGACAACTGTAGAATACTAGTATCCGGGTATAGGCGACCGACAGCAGTGGCTCTAATCAGACGTAGCACAGCGATTCTGTTCTCACTCTAGATATAGGATTGCTTGTGATACTGAGAAGGGCCCGCTAGTCGTGTACCGCAGCAGCTATGATCTGCGAAACAGGTATCGGATTCTTGCGCAGACATCGCCTCAAGCAGGCTTGATCCGTTTAGTAATGAGAATCTCCAGATTAGACTGTCACCTGAGGTATCGACTAAGGCATGCGGACGGGTCGGGCCTCTAATCCAATCTTGAAGCTCATTGTTTAGTGAAAACTGAAGGCGGTCGAAACCCTAAGATAAATCCAAATAAATAATTACATGGTCAGAACAGACATTCAATGTCTTGCTGAGTGCCATGGGGAACCAAAGCTCCCCAGTGACGCTGATCAAAAGACCCGCTCGGGTCGGGAGAGGAAGGGCGCCGCCGTGTGCTTGCCGTTGGATTCCACGGAACGACTCCGATTGACTCCACGGGATTTGCCAACCGATTGTCGGTAGCACGAAGAAAGGAAATCAATTCACCATGCGGATGCAGGATAGCACTCTTGCCAGAATGGTGGTGACTTCTGGTGTTGCCGAGAAGACGGAAAATGAGGCTGTACTAACCCAAACGGGCCGATCATGACGCCTTTCCCGATGAGGCAGGTCAGGTGGGTGTCACGGGTCTATCTTATCGCTTATCATCTGACCGGTTCCTGGCAGGAAGCTCCCCTTCCCAGCTCCCCGTATTTATTCCTCCTCCCCAAGCTGTTGTTGCTTGATCTTCTCCCTGTCTCGCCTCCTTTCTAGCCTCCATCTGACGGGCTTTATCATCGTACATGAAGAGCCGTCTGTCTAGTATTATTCTTCTTATATCATCCTTATATAGTGCCTTGTTCCACCCATCATGCGTGTCGACTCCGCGGCGCTACATCTGGTCCCAGTGCTGCTGGGCCAGGTCGGTGCTCTACAATTACCCCTAGTCCAAGAGTCCAATTCAAAGTGGGCGACGACAAACGCAGGTGACAAACCACTAATAAGCTCACCGCTGCTTCAAGAGCAGGTCAAGGCGGAGAATCTGCTGGACAGGGCCCGGCAGCTTTACAAGATTGCGGAGCTGGGAGAAGACGAATATAACCATCCTACTCGCGTCATTGGCAGCAAAGGTACCACTTACCTCTTCTCCTATTCTCGCAATAATTACAATCAATTGACGATTCCTTGTTCCTAGGTCATCTTGGCACGCTCGACTACATATACTCCGCCCTTACCGACCTCGGTGATTATTATACTGTCGTCAATCAGTCCTTCCCTGCCGTGAGCGGTAATGTCTTCGAATCTCGCCTTGTCCTTGGTCACGATGTTCCCAAGTCGGCTACACCAATGGGTCTCACTCCCCCAACGAAGAATAAGGAGCCGGTATATGGCCCCCTGGTTGCTGTCTCTAACCTCGGGTGTGAGGCCTCGGACTACCCTTCCAGCTTGGAAGGCGCCATTGCTCTTATCAGTCGGGGAAGCTGTCCGTTTGGGACAAAGTCTCAATTGGCTGGTAAAGCGGGAGCCGTCGCTGCTGTCATCTACAACAATGAGCGCGGTAACCTGAGCGGAACTCTAGGAAACCCAACACCCGATCATGTTGCCACCTTTGGTATCTCCGACGCGGACGCTGCCCCGGTCCTAGAGAAGCTGAAGGAAGGCGAGAAGGTCGACGCTATCGCCTACATGGATGCGATCGTCGAGACCATCCACACCACTAACATCATCGCGCAAACCACGGATGGTGACCGCGACAACTGTGTAATGCTGGGTGGCCACAGTGACAGTGTGGCCGAGGGCCCGGGTATCAATGACGATGGGTCTGGTACTCTGACCCTTTTGGAGCTTGCCACATTGCTCACCCAGTTCCGTGTCAACAACTGTGTGCGATTTGCTTGGTGGGCCGCCGAGGAGGAAGGCCTTCTCGGATCTGACTACTATGTGTCCGTTCTCACCCCGGAAGAGAACCGCAAGATCCGCTTGTTCATGGATTACGACATGCTCGGCTCGCCCAACTTTGCGTACCAAGTGTACAATGCCACTAACGCTGTGAACCCCGAGGGATCCGAGGAGCTTCGTGATCTCTACACCGATTTTTACGATGCTCATGGGTTCAACTACACGTACATTCCGTTCGATGGACGCAGCGACTATGATGCCTTCATCCGGCATGGTATTCCCGGCGGTGGGATTGCCACGGGAGCTGAGGGAATCAAGACGGCCGAAGAAGCGGAAATGTTCGGCGGCATTGCTGGCGAATGGTATGACCCGTGCTACCACCAGCTCTGCGACACGGTGGCCAATGTGAACTTGACCGCGTGGGAATGGAACACCAAGGTAGGATCACAAACTATAGTAGTTGCCATTATGCGAATAATTCCTTTGCTGACTAGTGTGACTCATAAAATAGCTCGTTGCCCACTCTATTGCAACTTACGCCAAGTCCTTCGACGGATTCCCGGAACGGTCCGATGAACCTATCAGTCCGCTTGCCTATGAGGAACCGAAGTACCATGGCCACTACCTGCAGTTGTAAGATTCGTGTACCCCTGAGCTTGGTAGTGGGGTTATATCTGTAGCGGGGTTCATTCTTTCCTGAGGCTGAGTCAGATTTGAGCTTATGAATTGAACGAATAGACTGTCACTTGTCATGTAGACGAGCACCTGGAAAAAAACCGTTGTAACATGTAGAAACTCGTTGGGGAATTGTCTGTTTAGGAACGCATGTACTTGTGGGGAAACGGTTCGGTCTTGGCTTTCCTCCTTCCTTCTCCTCTGGCACCCTCATACCGATCTCTATTAATCTAATCATATCTGTAGCATTAGCAATGATGCTACGAGGGACGAGAGTGTCTAGCGATGAGAACAGAATGTAAGCGCTGCATCGCCGCTTAATCTATTTCCCAAACAACATGCAGACGCCTTCATTGCAAGAACCATTCAGAGACATAGTGAATGCTGATTCTTAATTCACCTACGATTCGTGCAATAAGAACTCACTGCCCTATACCATGATATATTGCTCTCTCCCCCTCCAGGAAGAGATCGACAATTTCGGAACCGCCATGAAACGTTGGTGGGCCTCCGAGTGTCGAGGATTAACACTAGGGCCACGCTAGAACCCTCAGGGTCTGCAAACTACTCTACGGGGTGACTCCGAACAGGGCGTGAAACGGGAGTTCCTCCGAAACTGTCGCGAAAGTGTCTGTAGAGTAGTGATCGAAACCATCACGCGATGCCGGAACAATCAGCCACTCTTATTTGGCATGTTAAACGTGGAGTGGAGTCAACCCCTTTGTTGAAACAACACGGCCGTGTTTCCTTGCCGTCCAATCCGCTCCCTATAAAGCCAGCGTAGATCCGGTCTAAAAAATGAGATAAACGGCTCGTATCTCGTCTGTTAAAGGCAATTTTCATACGCTATCACGGATTACCCGTCTCATCAGAATGCGTGGAATTGAAGCTCTTGCCTTCCTGGCCGCCATCGGTGCCGCTCACGGCCAGAGCACGGTCGGATTTGGCCCTTATTTCTCTCTGGGTCCTACGCAGTCGTGGATTAGAGAGGCCAACACCACCCTGGTTCTGCCCGAGGCTCCTAGCCCTCAGAAGGACCGTCTTGCTCTTTGGCCTGGAATGGGTACAAGCGGTGGTGATCTGATCCAGGCTCTCGCTGTTTCTTTCTCCGACCCCAACTCGTAAGTCGCAATAGACTAATAGTACGACATCTCGGAATCATTCTGATAACCTATTGCAGCAACTGTGGCGCCAGCTCTGGACAGTGGTGTACCTGGGCTAGTACCCTTGAAGGTGAGTCATCATATAGCTTTAATAAACACATCAGTACTAGTCAAGCTAACTACGTGGTAGGCACACAATTGGGTGGCAAGGAAGTCCCGGCTTCTGCTGGTGACAAGGTGACCATGCACTGTAAGTATCTTATCAACTATGATTGCAGCTCCGGTCAATGATAGACACTAACCTCCGTCTACCTAAAGACAAGTACAACGACAGCACGGGCAAGTACGACCAGACCGTCTCGATCAACGGTGAGGTTGTCTCTACTCTCTCGACCAGTGCGTATTCCACCCTTCTAAATTGACGCTCCACTTGTATCCTGACAAATACCAGGCTCGGGACAAGCCCAGGGCTGGGGCACGGCAGTTGAGTGCCAGGACGATGCGTGCCAGAGCACTGCGGGAGCTCACAGTAAGTTCCCAACCCATCTTTCGAAGAAGAACAACATGCTTAACACAGCAATACAGAGTACCTTGACACCACCATCATCCTTAACGCCGAGGATAACTCTTTCGGCGACACCCTGTCCATCAACGAGGCCAGCTCCTCCGGCCTGTCGACGTCGGATAATGGCAAGACCTGGACCGTGTCGACCATTAACATCAACTCTCACACTTACAACCTGTGAGGTTGAAGTTAGTCTTGTATAGTATAGCTTGGGGATTGAAAAGCTCTGGGAGTTTTACCTTACGGAATAGATTGTACATAAATACGGAACACGCACGTATCTTCACGTTCTCAAAATCGTCAATGACATTGATACAACAAATTCATAAAAGACATCATAGTTATTACTGACAGACAGCGTTATCATGCTCAGCGGCATTTCCATTCCACAACTCGTGAAACAGATCCTTAGAAAAACTTGTTAACCTCCTGGTTGATTCCCTGGTTAACAGCACCATCCATTCCACCAGGGACATACTGGTCAACCTTCTGGTCAACCATCGAGTCGACAAAGTTGCCACCAGAGTTACCACCCTGTCCTCCGTTGTTAGAGCCGCCCTGGTTGTTGTTTCCACCGTGGCTGCCGAGGAAGCCTACAAAAGAGATTATTGTCAGCCAACATCCTCGATTCAAGTCAATCATGTCGCAATTGATAGGGAAACAAACCTTCTGCCTTGTTCACCAAACCCCCAAGCCCACCAGAGGAGCCACCGGAGGAGCCACCGAAGGAGTCATTTCCACCACCAGAGCCCCCGAAGTTGTCTTGGTTACCTCTTCCTCCGCCAAAGCCAGAGTCATTACCGCCAAAGCCAGAGTTGCCAGAGCTGTTACCCCCAAATCCAGAATCGTTTCCGCCGTGCCTGGAGTCATTGCCTCCGAAGCCAGAGTCACCTCCACCGCGACCCCCGCCAAAGCCCGAGTCATTTCCTCCAAACCCAGAGCCACCTCCACCAAATTGAGAGTCGTTACCGCCAAAGTTGTTGTTGTCGCGACTGTTACCACCGCTAAAGCTGTCGTTGTCTCCTCCGAAGCTGTTACCACCGCCGCTGCCTCCAAAGCCGGAGTCACCTCCGCGGCCACCACCGCCAAATCCAGAATCATTTCCTCCAAATCCAGAGCCACCTCCACCAAACTGGGAGTCGTTACCGCCGAAGCCAGAGTTGTTGCCTCCAAACCCGGAGTCATTGCCTCCGTAGCTGTCACCACCACCGCGACGGCCACCACCAAAACTGTCTTGACCGAAGGAGTCCATGGTGTCTATTGGGCAAAAAAAGTGTGTTGATAGTTTGATATAATGTGGGGGATTCCTCAGGTGTCAATTGAGTGTAAAGATCACAAAAAAACAAGACAAAGAGAAAGAGAAGCGGGAAGGTAGAAATTATCCAGCTTTAACATCCCAGCCCCAACAGCAGAAGCAATTTGACCCCTCTATTCAACACTACAAGCTTGCGCCATTTATTCGCCACACAATCCCAGCCCTTTCAGCCCTCAGCCATCAGCCCTCTGTTCTGAGACGCCCCTAATCCCAAACTAGTGGCGCAATCCACGCATATGATGTCAAGCGCACACTAATGAAGGAGCTAAGATGCGCCCTAGGGATCTCGATTTCAAATCACGGTGCGAGATCTCGTCCATAATGACGCTAAGCTCCAGGGCGAGTCAGCTCGGGGACCATCCAATTCCGAGGGGATCCGATCGTGCGTGATAAGACTGGGTTTTGGGTTGTAGTGTGGCGATTTTGCTTTTGATGGCGATACGGTGTGAATTCTACCAGGTGCATAAGTGGCGATGTACACTCTTCATACTATTTATCCTTCGAAAAGTGCTTTGTAGGTTCTATTCGTGGCCTTATCTGGTCTACTGTGCACCTTGAGTATGTGCCACGTTTGTGTTCAATGTCAATAGTACTAAGATTAGGCACATCACTACCAACCAACCAGAAGCCCTGCCCGTCCCACACCACCAAACCAAGCTTTGGGACAAGCTTCCCTTGACCCGTAGAGGCACTAAGAACTGTGCCCTGAGCCCTGAATCCCTGATGGGTCCGCCCGACCAGATCCCGATGGGCTTACTGCTCAACGTGGTGTGAATTCTCTCGAAAGGGTCTCTGGATCATATCTGATCTTACAATCGGCTTGATCGGAATAAGAAACTTCAAGTATAAGAACGTCAATTTCAGGTCACGTAAAATTATCTTCAGATCACGTTAGGCTGCAATGCCGATTTCTAATTGAGCCGAGGTCTTTACCTTCTTCCTCACCGGGAGGTAAGCACAATTCTCCGGATTGACCACGGGATCGCATCAAATCTTCAGAAATACAATAACTACTATCATTGGCGGGGTTGATTTTTCCGCGAGAACTAATAGTCGGGTTCGGAGTTACTTCAATAGTTGTTCCCTTATTGGTTAGTATGGGATGTTGGAAATAGTCTGTAGGAAAATAAGACATCCTCATCTAGTACTTGCCAATGTCTACGTGGTAATTAGACACACTGGTTACCTAATGTTAAAGCACATATACAGGAAGCTACATTTTACTGCTGCGGAAGGAAAGATAAAGACTGTGCAACAGTGGCATCTGTGGGATATTTCGGTTCATTATAAATATGTGGATATATACTTACAGCTTTGGAGCACTTCTTAGCAACTGACTTGCTCGAAAGTTGTAGGATTGACGGTATCATGGGACCATCTTTAACTCTTGAATTGTGTCTTAAAAAAACCTGCTATAAGATACATGGGAATCAAACATAGAAGGCATCGACCAAAACGCGCGTAACATATACCATGAAATGTCGGATGGGCTGTAGCTCAAGCATGGTCAGAAGCTTCAACAACACAGCAGCTCGGCAGAGGAGAACACAGTCCATTAGACATCTTGGGATATGTCTTCTTGACCTTAGAAGCCTCAGCTTGGGCAATTTTATCCACACGGCATATTACAGCACTAATAATTTCCGGTTGCACAGCAGGATTCATAGCACACATTCGAAGTGTAGTCCGTCCACGAATCTGGGTGGTTAATATAGAAGCGATATTCTCCTTCACGAGCCGCTGCGAGATGGCAGTGTTCAATGAGTCTAGCTCTTCCTCACTAAACCCAGGAGGCGCATATCGGAAAACCACAATGCTAGCAACTGTTGGCACCGGGATGATCCAGTTCTTATACTGCCGGATACTGCGATCCGCTGTACGGGCAAGAAGAAAACCCTGATCGATCATCTCACCCACACGACGACGACCTAGAACCTTGATAGTGAGCCACAGAGACATTGCACGCGCGGGCCGACTTAGCTCTGGACTGAGTTTGTAGAAATTGGTCGTGGCCTGCGCTTCCAATGGATAGTTGAGATATTCGGCATCGAAGGAGAAGCTGCGTGTGAGAGACTTCACGTGCCGCGTGAGCACAATCCCGCAACTATATGTCTGGAAGAGCCACTTGTGGCCATCCCAGGAGATGCTATCCGCGCGACCGATACCATCAATAAGGTGGCGATGCTTGTCGGATACTGCAATGGATGCACCATATGCACCGTCTACGTGGAGCCATAGGCCTTCGTCACGCGCGATGTCGGCTAATGCGTTCAGAGGATCGATACTGCCGGTGTTGGTGCTGCCGCAATTGGCGACAAGGAGGAAAGGAACGCGTCCGAACAGGCGATCTGTATTGATGGCATGTCGTAGGATATCCGTATCCATGCGGCAGTTATCATCGGTTGGTATCTTGTGGACCTGGTAGTCCATGAAGCCGGCAATATGTAGGGCTTTCATCACGGAGAGGTGTGTCTGATCGGACATGTAGATGGTGGCGTTTGCTCGCTCTGACGGTTGGAGTTTCTCATCGCGGGCTGCAACTATGGCTGTCATGTTTGCCATGGACCCACCCGAGACAAAGCACCCTCCGACTGAATCAGGCAGTCCCAGTTGGGAGCCTAGCCAGTGGATCATGGCCTTTTCAACCTCACTTGGACCAGAGCTCCCATCCCAGTTGGAAGCATTCACATTCCAGATGGAAGTGAGAAGATCACCCAGACGAGCAATTGGGGCTGGGCAGGCTGGTATATAAGCAAAATTATGTGGATGGGTGTGGTGTAGATGGTAGTCAAAGAGCGTCATAGCTTGTTGAAGGATAGAGACCGGATCCCGCGGATGATCATCTGGCATGATCTCATCCTGAAGGCTTGGTAGCTCACTGATATCGAGAATTGGGAGAATAGGGTCTGATGGAGGTGGAAGGTCGGTGGTCAGGAGTTGAGTCAATAGAGACCTGGCTAGCAACGTGACATTGGTCCATCCTTCATCTGATTGGTCTTGGGGTGCGTTGAAATGCATCTTGTCAAGTCTGGAAAATTGATCACTCCAGGGGAAGGCGAGGCAGTAAAGAAGCAAGGATTGTGTCTAGGTGGCTCTCAACATACTTGGAACACGGTGGCAGTTATGTGGCTTTATAAAGTGTGGCCGGGTCAATGTGCGCAAGAGGCTCTGAGCTGTATCGTAGAGTGAGTAGGGAACGAAACTCTTCTGAGATGCACTAGATCGCAATGGTCGTAGGTAAGCGAGATCAAGTAACACGGAGCTAACCAGACTCAGGTCGATAGAAAGTCAAGGTTGAGATCCGGCACTCTCAGGCTGACGAGTTTTCAGCTCAAAAAAAGCAACATGAGGGACTGTGGTGTATCTAGCTAGCTGCGTATCCAAAGGTTGGCACAATATTTCCCTCACGGGGCATATAGTCGCATAGTCTCTCTGTGCTGCGTCTGCCGATCTTTATGAACACATGATATCTGAGACTGATTAGACAAGTCATTACTATATATTATAAACTATGTCTACTGTAGTAGTTAGCTGTTCATATTTACTGTGAGCTGCAAGACGGATGCATCCGAGCGTGTAGTATGTAATGCCGTTGTGTGGCTGGGCGGGCATTTTGAAGCCCGCCTGTGGAGGGGTCGTGCTTAATGGACTGTGTAGCTGAGCAATTTGACATGTCGTCTAGCCGCGGTTGCAATACCCTTTTCGACGATTCATGCCAATCAACGCAAATAGTTAATGTGTCGAGGTTGACGTATGTAGATCTCTTGCTAATAGCGGTGTGGCCCCAGAAAGGTTGCCGGTGACTGAATAAGTCACTTGTGCATGGGTGGCCGCCTCGTGACACTTGCTGCCCTTTCAGCCGGGTAGACAGCTGAATTGGGATGTTACATAGGATTCCATGCAGTTGATGGAGTCAACGATGGATTCCTATAGGCCAAGAAGCATGCAGAGTTTTACATAAAACCCAGCAGTCTGGTTGATTACGACCCCACTATTGGGAGGCAAGAAACTCTAAAAAACAATGAAGGATGTCAACAGACTCTGTGCACGATAATGTGTAGTTGGAATTAACCTTCCGGCTTACCACAAGTTCTTCATTCATAGTTCCTTCAGCCACCTCACCCTACAGCAATATCCAGTCTGTACGAAGACTGGAACCCGAAGAATGGTACCCGGGCATCAGTTCTACGCAGACGCCATTGCTGAATTGGCTGCTAGTAGTGGGAATAGCCAGAGGAATATCTCAACACAACGGGCACAAGCGGATTTGAATGAGAATCTGTAATCTATTCAGATCTCAAGATTATGGCTAGTAAGACGTGAGGCCACATCGGCAGCAGGGGTGGCGATCAGGTAGTGCCTGGCTAGAGTGGAATCTCAACGAACTAATTTATTTTGCTTTTCTTTATTTGACCCCTTGACCAAGGACAACACAATGGACGTCGACCATAATTCAAGTTCTCGTATCAACATATCATAACATACATGGATTTACCCCTCGCTCATCATCCTAACACGTATGGAAACTGGTTGTAATGCCCAATGCCGCGGCACGGTCCGTCAATCTCAACACCACCCTTCTGCTGAACCGCCTTGCGATCAGCTCCGAAGCAAAGCACCTTACTACTAGATGGCAGTCGAGGAATCTACAGGCTCCCATCCGAGCAACGGCGGTCCGTTTAATGGATCCTTCGATATTATCTTTCAATCTCCGGCATTCTGGTGGCGGTACACCGGAATGTTCTGCTGGTTGCAGAGAATCGTCGAGTTAGCCGTGGGACAGATCCAGTCGGTCAAATCACCCTCAAACACAGCAGCCGGGTCCAGACCAGCAGTCAAATTGTCCACGGGGTAGGTGATCAGAGAAGCATATTCGTTGGCGATGTGCAACCTTCACTGCAGCCGAGCGGGCAGGATAATCAATAAAAATAAAGCGCTCGACAGGCACGACGCTAAAGCTCAGAGCAGGTTCAGCGCCGTTGTCTTAAGTACTGGCCGATAAAATTGGAGATTTGCGCATCTTACCCATTACATTTTCACATAAATACTCAGCATATCCGTCCCCTTGCCGCTCGGATACGACC